GACAGCACTTAACAACAACAACAACAACAACAGTTCATAAACATTTTGCTTTGTGACACTGACTGCAATCTCTACGTTTGTAACAGCTCTCTTCCCACCTCCTATGTGTGGTTACCCCCTCCTTGTGTCCTTCTTACCTATGCATTCCTGCCTGTCTACCTACACATTCTTAAAGACAGAGTTAGGACTGGATCTCCTTAGTACCCTGGGGAATGCCTGTGTTGTTCATTTTTTTTTTTTTTTTTAGAAAGTGGAAACAGAAGAGAGAATGTACTTTGTAAGACAAAACATGCTGTATGCTTTGATTAATAGGCATATCGGGTACATGACACCGGGATAAACCAGAATGGGAACAGGGAAATAACATGCCAAGTGTTCAAAGTCCAAAAGGCTAAGCAAACATCCCAGGTTCCCTGGTGGCTCTCTTTGTGTGTTTAAACCCTGCACATTCTGGTATCTAAGGTTACCAACTTGCCCAAATTGTTAGTTTTGTCATATAAACTGGAGCTACTGTTTTTCTGAACAATTTGCCCCAAATTAGTGTGCTGTGCTCCCTGGGCAGCATGTCTTGGACATGTTTCTCAGGTGCCAGTGTCTAATTCTAACCTTGCCCCTGCAAAATGATCTTGGGAAGCTAGAAAATCTATGAAAGAGAGGAAAACGTGATTGATTTCCTTAGCAGTGGTAAAGAAGTTATTATTTAAATTACACTTAGACATCTGCATACCCCACATGCAAAGTATTTTCTTAGCATTGAGGTACCAAATGGCTCTACCAGAGGCAGCAATAACTCCAGAGCCTGTCAATTCCAAGGGAAAAAGAAAAGTTGCTGCTGTTTACAGAATACCATCTTTGCGGACATTCTATCTCCAGGTCCATCTGTCATCCAGGCAATTTAATTTACTAAACGCTATTTGGATTCAGGTATTGCAGTGTTAAATACCAGGGGGCAAACACACAAAAGAAATGCATACAAAATTATATTGGAGGAGACAGGGAACTTGCTCCACATTGTAGTGTGATACAATCAGTGTGATAGGTAGGTAATCAGTGGCTAGGTGGTGGGATGGAGGGATAGGAGAGCAAGGTCGATGGTTTGAGGAAGAAAAGCTGTAAGGGAGAGGATTTTGATAAGCAGAGAGCAACTATGCTTCAAAGATCTAGGTTCCGTTTCAGCCCTATTACTCACAAAGTGAAGGGCTTTGGGTAAGTAACTCATCCTCCTGGAGCCTTAGCTTCCCTATCGGATATACAGGCATAATACTACCCTCCTACAATAAACGTATGTGGAGCATACATCCTACTGTAATCAACCACTCAACTCTGTTAAGCGGATATGGGAGGGGCTCTGAACAGAGGCAGGAAGGTGTGGATTGAAGGAAGTTGGCTCAGTCAGATGGAGGGAAGGTACCTCTTGGGAAATTATAGGAAATGAGCATGATGATATCAGGCTCTGAAAACTGGAGAGAGTAATTTAGACTGGGTGGGAGAGGCAAAAAATAGCCAATATAGTGTCCTGTGCAGTGGAAAAACTGTTAACAGTGGTGCTTTATGAACATAAATCCACTAAGACAAAAGGAATAAAACAGATAGGCAGGAGCCAGGCAGACCAGCCAGAGCTGACGCACTACTCCAGGCAGAAGGTAACGAGGCCAGCTATTTTCAGCCTCCATATGTTTTATTTTTCTCTTCCTTAGAGTTACAATAAGTACACCAAAGATCTATTTAGCATTCTATTAATTACAAAGTACTTACCCAAACTTTATTGCATTTTAAACTTGCAACCAGTGCAGTATTTGTTGCTATTTACAGATGGGAACGATTCAGAGTTAAATGATTTTGCCCACTGTAACTTAGCTGATAAGTGGCAGAAAGAGGTTTCTCACCCAGACTTCTAAACTCAGGCTTGCAGAAATGGGTAACTAGACCATCTCTAGAAAGGGGCTGCTGGAATCATTCACATCACACTATAAAGAATTCAGTTCAGTAATAAGTATGGTAAGAGCCTTCATGCCAGAGATGTTAAAGCCTTTGCCTTTAACCAGAAGGTCAGCAACCCAAAACCACCAGCTGCACTCATGGTGGCAGTCTGCTTCTGTAAAGATTACAGCCTAGGAAACACTATGGGGCAGTTCTACTCTTCCTATAGGGTTGCTTTGAGTTGGAATCGACCCAGTGGGTTTGGTTTTGGAATGCCAGCAGAAGGGGTCTCCTGATCTCACTGGTAAATATAAAATTGAAGAAGGAGCTGAGTATCCTCAACCAGCCTCTTCCTCTCTCCAGTTCCTGAGATCTGCCCACCTAGAAGCTGCTCTCCTCCTGTTCATTCAGGCTATAAATGGGACAGGAGCAGGGGTGGGTCCCCTGAGGGAGGCCCACTGCTGTCGGGGTGGTGACACAGTCACCTAATCTTAACTGCCTCCACAGTATACCATGCTTATCACCTTAGGGGTGATCAGTATTAAAGTTAAATTTTTGATCTTCATCTGCCTAAATCTCTCATGGGAAACAGTCTTTATTGGTAAAAATATATATATTAGCTCATAAAGTTATTATGATATTGAAGATAATAAATATGAAGTGCTTGGAACACAGTGGCCATGAAATAAATAGTACCTGTTATTGCATGTTTGGGAGCTCTGGTAGCATAGTGGCTAAAGCACTTGACTGCTAACCAGAAGGCCGGCGGTTCAAACCCACCGGCCACTCCTCGGAAGGAAGGTTGGGCAACCCTACTTCCATAGTGATACTGCCTCGGAAACCCAAGGAGGGGTCGCTATGAGTCGGGGCCGACTCGACGGCACATAACAACAACAACAACAACATTGCATGTTTATGGATTCTCTGTAACAGCAGTTAACTCTGAATCACTCATTTCTAGAGCTTCTGGACCAAAGCTTTCCATTATTTGTTAGAATCAAGTATCATTAAAACAACATCAAGAAGCAAATCAAATTGAATTTTTTAGAAGCTGGTTATTAGCAAATACTGCTGAAGATAAATATACCATCAACAAGGGGATGCTATTACTCTCTTTTTGGTGTTAGGTACCAAAAGCAAGTGCAATTTGACTCTTATGAACAAGTCTACAAATACAAAAATGCCAAAGAATCCTTGTTCAAAGTATCTGCAAAGTAATCCTAATTCTTCTTCAGTACCTTGTATGGCTCTGGAATAACTATTACAAGCTGGACAATGTTCTCAGCCAGTCATGCCATTTATGAGAAATAAGAATGGGCAAAAGGATTCTCTTTAGCAGTCAGAGGTTCCAAAAGCCCTTTTTGGGATCATGTAGAACCTGAGTATGAAGTCATTTATGCTATTTTAGTGAAGGAGATTAAATATGTATATTTGCATACTCTGACTTGCTTACTTTGGGCATGTCATCAAGAGGGACCGACTGCTGAAGAAGCACACCATGCTTGGTAGAGGGTCGGCAGATAAGAGGGAGACCCTCGATGAGAATGAATGACACAGTGGCTGCAACAGCCAGCTCAGACACAGCAATCATTTTAAGGATGGTGCAGGACTGGTGACATTTTGGTCCATTATATAAGGTTGCCATGAGTCAGAGCCAACTCGACAGCAGCTAACAACAACAGAACAAACCGTGCTGTAAGGTGGCACAGTGGAATCTTGGCCTGGGGCTTGGTCAGGGCAACATTCAATGGAACACCACCAGGCATCTAACTACATTACCAAATGGCTTTACATCAGTGAGCACTTATCAACCTCTCATTATCCTGGCCCCCAACACATGCAAGCTCACACCAACTGTTCCCAGCAGAGATGCTGTTCATTACTGAATTCTGTGGGGTAGCAAAGTTCTAGCAAGTGATTAGCAAACATTTTCTGAGTGTTTCCTGTGGGCAAGATGCTGTGTTCAGATCCCTTTGACAAGCCCAGTGGTGATCTTCACTGCCCCCTACCTCTTTCATTATCTTGATGGCTTCTACCCGGTGCTGAGGCGGGGGGTAAAGCAGCATGCGGTGATAGAGGGACTGGAGCACTGGCTTCATGGAGTCCACCGACCCCACCAGCCGGACCAGCTCAGCGGCGATGTAGTAGATGGTCCGCGCCACAGGCCCGCTCAGGGCTGGCGCCGTGGAGGAGCAGCCTGATCCCCGACCTTGGTCAGAAACGCCTGGGGCTGCAGAGTCTGACTCAACGCTGGCACTGGTGCTGCTGCTGTGGGCTGAAATGATGGTTTTGTCAAGAACTGGATTCCCCAGGATGACTATGAGAGCTGGGCAAAGGTTCTTCCTGGGAAGGAACAGGAGAAGAAATATTTTAACAAGTGAAATGGTAACTGTGACTACCATCCTGCAGGTAAATACCAGAGGCCACATATATGACTAATAAGAGTTGGGTTCTTGACTGTGTCTTTTTTTGGCAACATTCTGCTCTAGTTTTCCATGTCTCTCCATCACTTCTATGGATATCAAGAGAAAACTATGCCTCATAACTCAAGTAGGGGTTACCTAAATATAATATCTAGAGAAGGATTAAGAAACCATCCCACATGAAGAAATGGATCACAATGTAAATGGCTTAGTTATGAAGTTTTGTTTTCCTATTAATAGATGACTTGTACTTCTCATTTAAAAAGTTAATTTTAAATTCCATACTGACACATATCATTTGACTTCCTTCCTATGGGAAATTTCAATAACTCAGAGCAACTAGGTGGTTGCCTATGGGCCCCATCTGGTAATCTATGACTATGATTCAAAACCAGTTGCCATGGGGTCCATTCCAACTCGTGGTGACCTTATGTGTGTCAGAGTAGAATCCTGCTCCACAGGGTTTTCAATAGCTCATTTTTTGGGAAGTAGATCACCAGGCCTTTCATCTGAGGCATTCCTGGGTAGACTTGAACTGCCAAGCTTTTGGTTACCAGCAGAATATGTTAAATGTTTGAACTACCCAGGGACTACGTGACTAGTATTCAGATCACGATGGAGAATAAGGTTGGTCTGAGAATAAGGCTCAGTATCTCTTGTCCCCCTGGCACAAGTTTCTGGTGATTTTCCATGTTTTTAGAACAAGCTGATAACCTAGAAAGTCTTTTCACTCCTATTGATCATGATCCTATGATGTAAGCAAAATTTAAGAGGAAGTGTTATTTCAGTCCAACTATCATCAGTTTCTCTCTGTGTTTTGGTCTCACGCCTGTAAGCAGAGTTCCCTGTAGGCTACTCTCACTCTGAGGGAACTCCTGGTGACCACGGATGCTGTAAGATGGGACCCCAGGCACAGGTGGAAGGAGGAGGCACATGTGCTCACCAGATGAGGTCTGTGAAGCCCCGGTGCAGGTGCATGGAGGCAGAGCAGCTGCTGAGCACGGACAGGACACACTCAGAGTATAGCAGCTGCAGCTGCTGGTTGTCACTGGGGAGAAGCAAAAGCAGCACACAGACACACTCAGAATAAAAAGTGAAATCAGAGAGGGGCTGTGTGGGGAAATGTGTGGAAAAACGTTACCCATTGTAGAAACATTAATTTGGGGGTAGGGTTAGGATTTATTATTAGTAGTAGATATTAGTTTTTAGAGTAGTTTTAGATTTACAGGAAAATTGAATAAATACTACTGAAAGTTATTACATTACACCCCCTCAGATCGCCCCCCCCCCCACAAACACACACATGACACCAAACACAAAAACATTCCATGGAGTTGATTCCACCCCATGTGTGTCAGCGCAGAACTGTGCTCTGCAGGGTTTTCAATGCCCATTTTTCAGAATAGATCATCAGGCCTTCTCCCCCACCTAGTTCCCCTATTAACATCACATATTATTACATCTCATGGTACATTTTGTATAGTTAATAGAGCAATCTTGGTACATAATTATTAACTTAAACCCACAGTTTATTCCAGAAACACTAATTTTCAATACTTCTATTTATCTAAACTTGTTAAGAAACCTAGCATTCTTTATATTAATTGATCAATATGTGACTACATTGTATTGGCTTTTACTCTTTAGTTTTGAAGCACCATGGCCTTTCAATAGACAAATTATTTCTCCCAAAAACAATTATTATGAGATTCCACAATAGAGCCAAGTACAAAACCTTTATGGGAAGCACATTCTTACATCCAGATTAAGTCCTCTGCCAAGCCCAACAGAAAACACTGAAATTCAGGTGGGTGGCAATAGTGACTGATGGGGCCAAGGAAAAACTCAACTACCAAGGTCACATATAATACAAATATATAATGAACAGTTTAAGATAATTCAATCAGGAATTCTGTATGGAATGGAATACTCAGAGAAAGGAGAAACTTATTTTTCATAATAATTTTGCTGTGTCTCTTTTCTCCTAATTTAAGTTCTATTTTCCACAAAATCCCTTAAGGAAGACTAGTGTCCTTTACATTTCAAGTAACTTCCAAGAGAAGGGAGTGGAAGGAAAAAGTGAAGCTGGTGACAGACTAGAAGCCTAAAGAGACAGGAAGCGGGAGAAGTTATCATCAGATCCTCCCAAAGGCAAGAAGTTTACATCCATTAAAAACAAAACAAAACAAAACCCACTGCCATCAAGTCAATTCCAACTCACAGTGACCCCAAAGGACAGAGCAGAAATGCCCCATAGTGTTTCCCAGGCTGTAAATCTTTATGGAAGCAGACTGCCTCATCTTTCTCCTGCATAGTGGCTGGGGGGTTTAAACCACTGATTTTTTGGATAGCAGCTGAATGCTTTAATCACTATGCCACTAGAGCAACTGTCAAATTAAGAGAAATTTCCTAGTTGCAAAAGATAGAAAGACAGAGGCCTGGGTAGGGGGTCCTCATTCAACTGCTATGTGAAACATTCTTGTGCTGTCTATCTGTCAAAGTGACACTGTGCTCTAAAAAGGCTGAAGGAAACATCATGCCCACAGCTAATAAAGGTTTTATATTTTAAAGGGCTATAAAACAATCAAAAACAAAGAATGTAAGACAGAGATAATATGTGGCTCTTTATAGAAAAATTTGCTGACCCATACTCTCCAATGATGTCTCGTTCACCGACAATTGTGCAATGATGAATATACTACTACTATTTTGAAGAGGGAAATTCCACTTATATTTAGACTTACTCTATCACACCCTCTAAGGGTAGAAGAAGAGATGAGTAAAGGCCAAGTCTCCATAACAATTACTAGTTGCCATGAGGAAAGTGGTGGTTGGAAAAAGAATAAGAAAGGCAAGAAATCATTAGCCATTCTTGGGCTATGTAAGAACTTTAGGTTTCTAGGCTCCTATTCCCTATACTTGTGAACAGGAAATTCTTCCTGACCTGAAATAGGTTATTCTTGTGGGCCTAGGTAGTTAAGTAAGCAAGCAAGCAGATAAAGCACCATGTGGGAAGTTGCTATAATGAATAATTTAACACAAGGTTCTATGAGAGCATATAAGGGGGTTCCTCACCCTCCTTGGAAAGATCCAGACAGGATTTCCAAAGAAAATGGTATCTTAGTAGAGAGCCAATTCAAGTATGAGTCAGTCATGTGAGGAGTCGGGGAGAGGGTACGTGGGAAGAATGAGAGACAGAAGAGGAAGAAGATTAGGCTGCTGTGGTTGAAGAACAGAGCATAACGGTGTCCATCCAAAAAGGGAGAGTGTCGAGAGGTGGGCAGGGGCAGATCAGGAAGAGTCTAGCAGGCCAGGCTAAGATATCTGGACTTTGTCAAAAAAAGGTGAGACATGACCAGATTTATGTTTTGGAAAGATCACTTTCAATATAAAACAGGTTGGAAGGGACAAAATGGGGTGGGAGGCACAACATGAATGATAAGCCACTGTTCTGGTTCCCTAGTGCCACTCTGACAGGAATATACCACAAATGGGATGGCTTGAATAAACAGTTTATTCTCTTACAATTTGGGAGGCTAGAAGTCCAAGTTCCAAGTGCCAGGCTCTAGGGGCTGTGTGAAAGCCCCTTGACCTTGGGCTTCAGCTGTGCCTCTTGCTCCTGGCCCACTGAAGCTAGAGGCATCTCTTCACTCAGGCAGCTACTGGCTGCTGAGGCTAACAAGCCCAAGGTCGACAAATAAAATGGCACAGTCCCGATGTTACCAAACCGCAGGGTAGGCCATTGATTCAAGTCCATTGAAATTCCTAAGATTGGCAGAGCATGGCAGTCTGCTGAACAACAACACAGCTACATGCAGGGTTCAAGGTGCCATAAGCTAGAGACTATTCCCAAAGCTGTTTCTTATATACGAGGAGCAGACCACATCCCTAAAGCTGTTACTCAGCTGCTTGTGGTAGGTCCCACTATGGAGTTGATTGCCAGTTTCATCATGGGGAATAACTATCACCAGCTGCCTAGCCACTCAACCAGGCCCAGCCAAGTTGACACACAAACATAATCACCACAGCCACATTTTAAAAATTCAGTTGCGGAAGAGTATTTCAGAGCTGGCTTTGCTCTGCTGCTGTTGTTATTTGCTGTTGCGTCGGTTCTGGCTCTGACTCATGGTGACCTTATGTATAACAGAAGGAAATGTCACCTGGCCTGTGCCATCCCCATGACGGTTGCTGTGTTAAAGCCCACTGTTGTGGCTATTGTGTCAATCCACCTCACTGAGGGTTTCTCTAATTTTTGGTGATTCTCTATTTTACCAAAATAGTCCCAGCTTAATCTCTGACCTATCACTCAATCCATAGTAGAATGATAACTATTAAATGACCAAATTAAAACATTTCTTTCTCTCTCAATCTGTCAGTCTAGAATCACAAAAGGAAAATAATCATGGACAATGAAGATTCTCAATTTCTGAAATCATCAAAAAGCTCTGAACAACCACGGTTCCTATGAGTATCTACAAAGTGTGCAACTCCAAGTCCTGTGACTCACCAATGAGGCAATGCATTGCCAAGGAAACTAGCCTGAGAGTCTCCTTGGAGACTGACTGAGCGTGGCAGCTTTTCTGTGGGCTGCAGCAGACTGGAAAACAGGTGATTAGGGCCTTTCTATCATGAAAAAGGCTGTTAAAAATGGACATACCTTCATCAATACCCCTCACTAGATACACATACAAATGTGAACACCATATAAGCATTGAGTATTTGTCTGACTGTAGCCAGACACATACACAGAATGCACAGGGCAAGAAGGGGTCTAGAAACCAGGCAATTATTTTAAAATGCACTAGGGAAGGTTACTGGGAAGGGAGGGAAAGGGAGGAATGGCATGGAAAGTCTGTGACAAGCACGGTGACAATGGGAAAGCGGGGGACACAGATATGTGCACAAAAAGATAGAAACAGAGGCAAATACTATGACAGGTGCAATACTGCATTACCACTGGCACCAAACACCAGCCTATGGGTAAATGTTTAGACAAGTGAGAAAATCAGGCCGGGGTAGGCAAACAGGAATATACCCCAAAGCAAGGATAGATTTGGCCGATGACAGTCTTATGTATGTACTTGTGCTACAAAATTATCCACATATATTACAGAACTTAACAGAGGACAGGCTCGGAGTAGCTTTTCAGAGACAATCAAACACCTTGTGGGAGAGAATCACCAGGCCTGTAGTCTCAGGAGACATCATGCTCAATTGGCACAACATAGTACATAAAAATCTTCTCTATCCTACTTTGATGAGTGGTAACTTGGGTCTTAAAAGCTTTTGAGCAGCCATCTAAGATGCAACTATTGGTCTCCTCTCATCTGGAGCAAAGTAGAGGGAAGAAAATAAAAGTCATTTGGAAACAATTAGTCCAAAGATATGATGGACTACAAGGACCTCAGCCTTCACTACCCTGAGACCAGAATAACTAGATGGTGCCCAGCTACCAATGCTAACCACTCAGAAAGGGATCAAAATTTGAGATCCTGGATAGAATGGGAGGAAAAATGTGGAACAAAATTCAAAAACACAAAAATGACCAGAATTATTGATTGGATAGAGACTGGTCAAACCCCTGAGACTATGGCCCTGGGTTATCCTTCAGGCCTGGAAATGGACTCATTTCCGTGGATTGGCTCTCAGCCCAATAGTTGAAAGGTCTACAAACAGAACACCTACCCCAGGGAGATACATCCACCTACCCTAGGGAGATGCACCCCTTGGAACCATGAAACATCAGAGGGGCAGCTTTCAAGTACGGGGAAAGCTGGTCAGACGGGAATGCATAGATAGGAAGGGTACAGGGAGGGGGTAGTCACAGGGAATAGAGGGGAGGAGAGTTTTTGTGTTTGGGGATTGTAATTGGGGCCATGAAATCCAATGTTCATGAACGGTTGAGAGTAAAATGAATCTGCCTTGTAAATTTGTACCCAAATCACAATTAAAAAAGAAAAAAAAATGAAGGAGAAATGAAGATTTTTTTCCCTGGGAGTTGGGGGGCAGACCACTAGGGAAAAATCTGCCTATTCAGGAGGGTGGCAGTTACTTCTGGTCTTTTGTTTGAGCATTTCATGGTTGGGAGGTCGAGTATCTGCTGGGCTCATCCTCAGCCCACCTGTGAATTTCTTCTAGCCACGTGACCCACAGAGAAGAACTCTCATGAGTAGACCAGTGGGCCATGAAGGCTAAGCAGTCACCCATCTTCACAAGGTTCCTGTGAGGGAAGTTTGGTAGCACATTCTGGATCTCTGGAGTTCTTATAAAAGGGGCCCTGGTGGTGCAGTGCTTAAATGCTTGGCTGCTAACCAAAAGGGCAGTGGTTTAAATCCACCAACAACTCGGTGGGAGAAAAGACAGACAATCTGCTCCTGCAAAGACTGTTGTTGTTGTTATATGCTGTCAAGTGGATTTTGAGTCATGAAATGATGGGTAGAACTGCCCCCGTAGAGTTTCCTAGGTTGTAATCTTTTTGGAAACAGATCACCAGGTCTTTTCTCCTGTGGAGTGGCTGGTGGGTTCGAACTGCTGACCTTTCAGTTAGCAGCCTAGTGCTTAGCCTTTGTGTTCCCAGGACTCCCTCCATAAGGATTATCATCTAGGAAACTCTATGGGGCAGTTCTACTTTGTTACATACAGTCATTATGAGTCGGAAGCAACATGAGGACACACAACAACAGAGTTCTTAGAGTGTTTTTTTTTTTTTTGTTGTTGTTGTTGTTCTTATTGCTTTTTAAACGTTGACTTTGCTTCTCTTAAAAAACAGATTCAAATTTAGTTAGGATAAAAAGAGCATTAGGTAATTATGTGACCGGAATTAGAACAAATGGTATAAACACCTAGCCTTGTCTCACTGACTCCAACTGCTTTGGCATAGATTCCACTCTAATATTCTGTATTGGGAGGAGAGGGAAGGGGGAAAAGGGTAGCAGGAGATAGATAGGCAGATAATGAACAAATATTTTCCTAAGCCAAATTCTCCTTCCAAAAATTCTTGGATTTAAACAGCATCTTGTAACTCAACTTGCCTAATATAGAAATCTATTAATACCACATCTCCAACGCATGTGAGTGAATCATTGTATGTACCTGAATGCATTTTCTAAATCTGCCTGAGAGATGGAACATACAAACCCCTACAGAACTAAAAGCCCTATGAAGTATGCAGTCACTGATTGTGGAAATTGTTGTTGATGGAAAGTACTGACCATGGTGTGATCTCAGAAAGAATCTGTTTAGAAGTAAAAGGCAACAAGTACAGCTAGTAGACACAGAAGGAGTTCAGGCAGTATGACCAGAAGAAACTATAGGTTATAAAAATTTAAGGGAAGAAAGAGATAGCTCAAGAGGAAAGTACTGCAGAACTGCGGAAAGTGCTACATTCTTTGAACCATAAGAGTAAGAGCAGCCAAGGCCCCTCTGACCAGGTGGGCACAAAAGTAAGCATGCTGCACTCCTGGCTTGTCAACAGGACTCCAATATTAGGGTAATGGAATCATGAAAAGAAAGACCACAATCAAAGAAAGCAAAGTCCTTAGAGGTAGAATCATGACCAGAAGAAATATTAAAAAACCAGATAAGAGTATGAGAACCCTATAGAAACCATTAAGCTCTATAACAAGATGCCTCAAGCCATCTTTCAGAGGGTGGCTCAAGAAGATAAAGTAAAATATTATAATGAAATGTGAGAAGACCTGGAATTAGAAAACCAAAAGAGAAGGACATGCTTGGCATTTCTCAAGCTGAAAGAACTGAAGGAAAAATTCAAGTCTCAAGTTGCACTATGAAGGACTCTATAGACAAAATATGGAATGACACAGGAAACACCAAAAGAAGATGAAGGAATACACGCAGTCACTGTACCAAAAAGAACTGGTTGATGTTCAACCTTTTCCGGAGGGAGTATATGATCAAGAACTGATGGTACTGAAGGATGAAGTCCAAGCTGCGCTGAAGGCATTGACAAAAAAACAAGGCTCCAGGAATTGATGGGACACCACATGAGATGTTTTAACAATGGGTGCCATGCTAGAAGGCTCACTCAGAGTAGAACTGCCTCACAGGGTTTTCTTGGAGCAGATTGTCAGATCTTTCTCCTGCCAAGTCACTGGGTGGGTCTGAATCACCAGCCTGTCAGCAGTCGAGTGCTTAATCACCATGCCACCAAGGCTCTCATTACTACACTACCAAAAAAAAAAAAAAAAAAAAAAAAAAACCCACTGTCAGAGTTGATTCCAACTAAGAGCAACTCCCATCGGGTTTACAAGGCTGTAAATTTTTACAGAAATAGATCACCTCATCTTCCTCCCACTGAGCAGCTGGTGGGTTGGAATTGCTGACCTTGTTAGCAGCCAAATACCTTACCCACTACACCACCAGAGCTCCCTAACTATGCTACCTCCCAACTATGCATCCCACCTGTCAGGTAAAAATCAAATGTCCAATGTTAGAATGCCCTTACTTTATGATAGCTCCTGCTGCCTTGAACAGAACCCTCATTTCCTTTAATCCACCCCCAAATCATGTAACTCAAGATGAAATCCTATAACAATTTTCCTATCACCCTTTTACTTAATGGCTCTCCACAGTATATAGATTCCTTGTTTCAGGAAGATAATAACCTAATTCTATTAACCTTAGGTGTCCTTGGTGCTCTTTGCCTGGTGGGCAGCAACAGCCTGTTAAATAAATCTTCTAATTTGATCCTTACAAAAGCCCTAATACAAATCCTTATCTTACAAATGAGGAAGCCCAACCTTATGGGAGTTTAGAGCTTTGCCCAAAGTCAAGAGCTAGTAAATGGCAGAACTGGGGTTTTAATCCAACAAAGATAATGCCTATAGTAATTAAATACCACTTTTGATCAGGTCTTAGAAGAGAAGCCAATGAGAAATATACTCCAGCCCTGACACAATGCCGTCGCTGGAACTGGGAAGAGCTGGGGCAGAGTTAGTGCTAGAAGAGGTCTAAACTCTGGTCATGGATGGGCAGGATGACTATGTAACAAGGATACTTCTGAGAGTGAAAGAGAGTGATTAAAATTATTACCAACGGGCATAAACTGGGACTGTCCCAGGCAAACCAGGTCACATGGGCACCTGGCAGATGGGGTTCACTGCAAGAGGTGCTGGAGCCCTTCAGGTGGGATGATAATAGTCAGGAAGGATGAGGAGGGAAGCCCAAAGCAAACAAACAAACTCAAACTCATTGCTGTCCAGTTGTTTCCTCTCGTGGTGACCCCAGATGTACAAAGTAGAAGTTTACTCCATAAGGTTGTTTTGTGACCTGTCAGAAGCAGATCAGCAAGCTCTTCTTCTGAGGTGCCTCTGGGTAGGCTTCTTCTGGGTAGGTTTGAATCACCAAAACTTTTAGTTAATAGCCAGGTACTTAACCATTAGTGCCTCCTAAGGACTCAGAGCAGGACCCGGGGGAGCCATTTATATCCCCTATGCTGTAAGACATATCTTTCCTGTGGGAAAAGAAATGCTCACACCTGGATCCTGCCTTGAAAGGTAGGGTGGCAGAAATCTGAGGGTGGAGATGGGGATGAGGTTAAGTGCTTTTCTTCCCAAACGATCCAAAACCAAACCAAACTCACTGCCATCTAGTCAATTCCGATTCATAGCAAGCCCCCCATTGGGTTTCCAAGGCTGTAAATCTTTACAGAAGTAGATTGCCCCATCTTTCTTCCATGGAGCAAGTGGTGGGTTTGAACCACTAACCCTCTGGTTAGCAGAAAAATACCTTATCCACTATGCTACCAAAGCTCCTCTCTGACTGGTGCTACCCATGTATTAAATAGGTCTCATAATTTTTTAAGGACCTAATTTAAGGAGCTCTAGGGCACTGTGCCTAAGGTATTTGACTGCTAACCAAAAAGTTGGTGGCTCAAATCCACCAGGCGCTCTTCAGAAGAAAGAGGATGCAATCTACTTCCAAGATATACCCTCTTGGAAATATAATGGGGGTTGCTTGAGTCAGAGTTGATTTGATGACAGTGAGTTTAGGTTTGGTTATTTTTAATACAAAGAGAACTTCATTTGGTCAAACATGCAGGCCTAAAAGAACACTGTTTAAATTGCTGTAAAACCCATTTAGCAACAACTTTTCAGAGGAATTCTAAGCTTAGCTTAAAATATAACTAGTTTCTGAAATATAAACAACAACAAAAAATAAGTTTCTGCAATGTTTCCAGCAACATGAGAGACCTTGCTCATGTCAGAAAGTGGAGAATTTCTCCCAGCTCATTACTATATACAAATTCCATGAATAAGAATGTTCTGAAATATTAAATGCTTTATTTATCAGTAAATAATAGCTTAGTATGTTTTTCACAACTCGGAATCTTACTGTGCTATAAAATTTTGTAATTAAGTATAAATTTAGAATTAATGAAGTAGAGACTTTTCATTCCATCTTGGAAAGTTTGGCCTTTTTATGGTTTGGCTTTAACAACAGATGCATAAGTTATCTTATTAAGTTGCTACTTGGAGAGTTGGAGTAATAGACATCACCTTAAATGAACTAATATTATTGATTAAACTTACATGCAAAAAAGAAACGTACATAAACATCAGGGTGACATGTTCTTTTTTTAAAGACAAGTATGTGAACACATAGGCTGAGTGAGAAATAGAGAAAGACCCCACAGTCCAAGCCCTCATTTGACAGGAGAGGCATGTGCAGCACTGTTCCCTGCATTTAAGACTCATTTAAGGTTCGACAGCTGGGACATGCACAGGCCAGGACCAGCCCTCACAGCAATTAGCCTTAGCCCAACATTCTTTCTACTCAGCTTCATGTGGAGGGATTACCCATGGTGAATAAGAGCAAGAGTATCTGAAGCACTTACTTTATGGCGGCTTGTAGCTTCTCACAAAGGACAGTGAGTACAGAGACAACATCATCACAGAGGGACTCTACTGTTGACCCTTTAAAACAGAGGAAGTTCTAGGTGTTAGGCAGTAGCAGGAGGCACTGAAGTTACCTCAACAGTCCTTCCCATTTTCCATTTTTGATGTTTCTAGGAATGCAAGGATGATTTTCAGATGGTGAGCCTCTCTTGGGCCACCAAAAGTCTTAGAACTATCACAGAAAAGACAGGAATTGAACATAATTATTTCTTTGTAAAGCAGAACACTCAAAAGATAGTCTATAAAAAAAAATTCTGTTTATTATTATAAATAAAATTGATTCACACTGAACTAAAGAAAATCTGGGTAACTGAAAACCAAAAATACTCAACTGACAATTTAATATTTAGTTCACGCATCCCTTATTTTGACCACTCGAGTTTCTGAGAAGATTTGAGTTGTGTCCTAGAGGGATAAAATATGGTAGCATGAAGGAATGATGGGCTTTTGGAACTAGGTAGCCAAAGAAAAGGGGCAAAACCATTGAATGAATCACCATCCTCACCTATTTTAAATATTTGCCAGATACTTATGTGTGTGTCCAGAGGGCACAAGGTCTTTGTTGTTAATGGAGACACAGTCAATGCCATAAAAATAATGTTCCCCTCCCTGTGTATTCTAATGCTCCCACAGATGCACTGAAGTGTACTGGAAAAAGGAAGGAGTTTGGGATCCATTCAAGGACTGGTCCATAACTTACTGATTATGTGAACTTGGGAAAGCTTCGGTTTTCTTTTCGGCAAAATGAGATAATAATTGCAATTTCACACACTGTTTGGTGAAGCGAAATAGCATATAAAAGTATTCAAAATTAATAATCCACTAAGTATTTGATGAAAGAGTATATAAATGGATGACCATGGGGTCAAGGTAGATAAAGAAAAAATGGCAAGAGTATAAGAGAGAAAATAAAAGTAAAGTTGGAGGAGAGTAGGAGAAAGAAAAATGTTTTGGTTCTGTGTTACTTAAGGATGTGTGTCAACTTGGCTGGGCTGTGGGTTTGACTGGCTGGGTAGCTGGATGCAGTTATTCCCTATGATGAGATTGTAATCATCTCCATGGTAGAATCTGCTGTGAGCAGGTAAATAGTTGCCTTCAGGTATGGCTTGCTTCCAGTATATAAGGAGAAGCTTTGAGAAAGGCCTCTAGCTTTTTGGCACATCTAGATCCCGCATCTGGCTGAGTCTCCAGTGGTCTGCCATGTTGCCTGCCAATCTTGGGACTGGTTCGGGATTTGAACTATTGGCCGGCCATGTTGCCTACTAATCTTGGAATTATTCCATTTTACCTGTCGGCCTTGGGTCTGTCAGCATCAGCAGCCAGCAGCTGCCAGAGTTAGGAGGTGCCTCTCATTCCAGTGGGCCTGGAGTAAGAGGCAGAGCTTCAGCCCAAGGTCAAGGGGCCTTCACCCAGCCCCTAGTCTGCTCAGAATTTGAACTTCTAGTCTCCTAAACAGTAAGAGAAGGGCTCTGGTAGCATAGTGCCCAAGGCACTTGACTGCTAACCAGAAGGCTGGCAGTTCAAACCCACCAGCCACTACTCGGAAGGAAGGTTGGGCAATCTACTTCCACAGTGATACTGCCTCGGAAACCCAAGGAGGGGTCGTTATGAGTCGGGTCAGACTCGATGGCACATAACAACAACAACAAACAGTAAGAGAATACATTTCTGTTTGTTAAGCCATTCACTCTAGTCTTTCTATTATGGCAGCACTAAAGAACCAGACAGGTCCTCAGAATTTAAGATCTTAAATGAAGGAACAGGAGCTCTGGTGGCGTAATTGAGAAATAAGTTATAATGATAAACACATAGCTTTAAAATAAATACAATCTATAAGTAAAATTCAAACTCAGTTTTAGATCAATTTTAAATGTGTGCCCTGATTTTTTAAATCAATATATATTTAAAAATGTATCCTTGACTAAGAGGACTTTGATCCCCTTTTCAGTTTATCAAATCATCCTATATTAAAGTGAAGATTTTTTGAAAACTGTAGTAGCCAAAAAACAGGAAAAGATAAGGGGAACACTTTGGAACACATGACTGAGAGCTTCAGAAAGTACCAAGACGCTGGACCACTTCCTGGCCTCCTGCCCAAGAACATAGCAAGACATGACCATGGCAACACACCCAACCAATGCCTCAGAAATTACTAAGCATTTCACTTTATCGTTCTTCTACGCTTTTTCCTCCCACCTGTGGCATTTGTTCTCGCCTTTTCATTCCCTCCCTTTTTCATCTTTTCCACATCCCATCCCCTTTTCCTCTGATTAACTAGTGAAATAATGCAGTTTTCAATATTCAAAAAAATGACCGAATACTGTCTGAAATGAAACCTATAGTTCAATTTTTAATCCGAAGATTGAATTTTTCATCTCTTTTAGAAACCAAACATTATTTTAAAATTTCTGAGTGTCCATTACATGTTGACTGCTACTTTTTCTTTTCCTGGGGGTCAGAAGAAGCCTCCTCACCCTGATTTCATCTGCTACTTAAGCCGGACTGTCTGTTCTTCGAGAACCTCTGTGAGCCACGTAACTCACTGTTCATGTTGAGAAATTGGTATTTCACAAGCATATTTGTGGTACAATGGCACTGGATGCCGATCAAATTTCTACCACCCCTATCCAGTTCTCATTTTAGCAACACTTGATTTCATGGAGAATGAAGTAATAAAACAAAGAAACAAAAATCAACAGCCCCAAGACAGAAGGTAACCTTGCATGGTTGGAAGAGGAATAGGTGTGGCTGGCATTAAATGAGTGTCAGTGAAGTTTGACAACAGCTGATTAAATATACCACAGAAGGCAAAGCTAAGCAGAAGCTCTAAGGGAAATGGTCAACTAACCGGAGAACTCCTGGTTGTCTTTATATACCCAGCACCTTGCTCCGAGTAATCATTCTTATACCTCATATTTAAACTGCACTAGTAAAAATCAAATCTCATACCTTGATTCCCGAATCCCTGTGGGACATCTGGGTTTTCAATTATCTAGTAAGAGAGACACACAGAGGACAATTAGAAGACTCAATGCAAGAATAATCCTGACACTTAGACAATGGAAGTTTCTAAGAAACAAAATGGCATCCTGAGCCATCAGGGCTCAGCTAACCTTAAGAATACCCTACAGCTCTTGATAGCTTATCATTAGACTCAACCAAACCAAACTCATTGCCATGAAGTCAATTCTAATTCATAGCAACCCTATAGGACAGACTACAACTGCCTCATAGAGTTTCCAAGGCTGTACTCTTTATAGAAGCAGACTGCTGCATCTTTCTCCCATGGAGCAACTAGTGGGTTTGAACCATCAACCTATCAGTTAGCAGCTGAGCACTTAACTACCACTCCACCAGGGCTCCTTCGCTTTTTATTACTCATGATATTTATGAGAAAGACTATGATGTCTGAATTTGAGCCGAGCAGTTCCAAGAAGAATTCATTCAGAGAGCCCACAAAATTCATGGAAGCCTTAGCTTCATGTTTCACTTTAGGATATCAGGGTGCTGGGCCAGTGACTTGGGAAATGTCTGCATAAACAGAAAAAAAAAATTACTTCTGGATAAAGAACAATTTGTCCCAATGCCACAGATACATGGTGGATTCTTACTCATAAGAAAGATCAGTTTCCTGGATTTCAAAACACTGATGCAAAGATGACTCCTGGCGAGAAGCATCTTCTTACTATTTAATGGGGAAGCATATTAACTTCTAACCAGACCAGTCATTCTTGGCTGTCATTAGGTAGCTCCTCCACTATAAGGGCAGAGACTGAACCTTGGAAGGAAGGGAGATTAGGGATGGGAAGATGTTGAAAACCAGTAAGACTTACTTCCCATGTAGGGACAATTCAAGGAGTATACAGTTGAGAAGGAGTTGGGTAGCACTGTCATTAAGAGATAGGCTGATAACCAAAAGGTTGGTGCTTCAAACCCACCAGTTGCTCCATGGGTGAAAGATGTGGCAATCTGTTTCCCTAAAGATTAAAGCCATGGAAACCATATGGGGCAAGTTGTACTCTGTCCCATTGGGTCATTATGAGTTGGAATTAATTTGAGGGCAATGGGTTACAGAGTTGAGAGTATGAAGGAGGTTCTTCTGTCTCCCCACCTCATTGCACTGGGATGTGTGGGAGGGATGGACATTAGGTAGAAGACACATTTCATGATAATGCTTTTAGGGTTCTAGATATTCATTTTCTTTCTGTGCCATTTAAGTTTCCTGATACCGAGATAGCCTGTGATGTCTTTCCAGTATTGCCACACTATATCCACGTCTTCCCCAGGCAGTGCTAAGGGTCCCACAGGAGAACATACAGCCTCATTAGAATGAAACTTCTCCATTCCTATAGACTAGCCCACTTTAGTGTTTAAAAATAGCCATTCTTAGGTGGCAAACTTATTTCTCTACTTCACAGACATCATAAATGTTTAAAGTATTAGCATTTGTAGGAGCTCTGGTGTGTTTTTCCAGGACAAAGAATCCTATCTCCAGGGACTGCATCAATAAATAGAAAGGAAATTGCAGGAAACACTAATTTTCCATCTAATTTGGGATCTTGCCTTGGACTAGGGCTGAGTCCAGATGGTCAGTGATGAGCAGGAAGAGAGGGCTGATTAGCTACATAATACGACCGGACAGAGGCAGATAACCCCTACGGTATCATCCAGACCTCACAGCTATAACTGTTACCACTTCAACAGAAGAAAAATAGGAATGCTAAAGTGAACTAAAAGACTGTTAGTTTACTGGAAACCTAATACCATCCTACAAAGATTTTTCAAAAATTTAAAAAGTTTAAAAATGAGATTAAGTGCACTAATATAATTGAAAGGAGTTTGAAATCATAAAACATTAGATATTTTTACTAGTATAGTATTTGATCATGTTGCTTTTTAATAAGGATGGGATATGACTCTATATTAGTGTGAGAATTCTCAACGTCTTAGATTTATTTCCATTAGAAACATTTTTTTCCTTAATATGTTTTCATTGATAGACCTGAATTTCTTTTGAACTAATATTTCCACACAACTATATTCAGAATCCAAGTATAAATAGGATAGTTTTTAACAGAAGGTAAGCTAAAATAAAGGAGTCCTGGTGGTACAACGGCTAAAGCACTCAGCTGCTAACTGAAAGGCTGGTGGTTTGAAGCCACCAGCTGTTCACAGAAGAAAAGGCCTGGCAATCGGTGAAGACTGTCATTGTTGTGTGCTGTTGAATCCGTTCGGACTCATAGCAACCCTGTAAGGCAGACTACAACTGCCCCATACAGTTCCCTAGACTGTAAATCTTTGCAGGAGCAGACTGCTAAGCCTTTCTGTCTGCAGAGCCACTCACTGGTGGGATGGAATAGCCAATTTTACATATGGCCTAGGAAAACTCAGAGGGTCACTGTAAGTTGGAATTGGCTCAATGGCACACGACACAACAACAAGTGAAAATAATAAAAGTATCTTAATTTTTTTTTTTTAAATAATATAAACTTGGGATTTGGTTGTGGAAAACACAAAGAAATTCAGTACTTGTATTTTCAGGTCCCTGTTTTTCAGCACTGGCTGTTAGAAGTGCGTATTAGCAGAGAACCTGAGCTGGGAGTCAGTCAGGAGAGCAGGGGTTTAGTTCTGGATTTCTCATTGACAAGCTTTAAGCTTTAGGTAAGACACTGCCACCTCCCTGGGCTTTAGCTTTCTTATTTGTAAAATGAAGAACAAAATAATTTGACTAGATGATCTCTAAGGTTCCACCTTAATTCCATGATTCTCTTTAAAAAAAAAGAAAAGAAAAAGGTGAACTTAAATATGAAAACTAAGTTTCTGGAAAAATAAAACTAATTTCTGAGGTGTTTCAAACTATAACTATGACTTCCTACTTAAAAAATATAACTGATAGCATTAATAATTAGAACATTCCTTGCAGATTTTAAGAAGAATTTTACTCTGAATTATTAGAGACAAATTAAAAATGCACCAGTTCTGAAAAGGAATTAACCTCTCATTAACATGCCAAGAAGATAATATTTATCAGAAGCCAATTACATTTACATTTCTCAGGAACATTCATTTCAGACATTTCAGGTACAGAACAAAAAGCTCTATTGGGCTTTGATGACAGAGAAGACAAATTCAATTTTACCCTGACACCACCAGTAAGGGAAGGAGACCTCCTGCCACATCCTTTAGTGAACAAATGGAAAAACACGTACCAAACCACAGAGCATGCCATGCCTTTAACTGCTGTTCATTTTTATTGAGATCAAATTTAGTCCTTGTATTTGCTAATATTTCAGTTAGTAACACAATGTTTCTATGTAAACCATTTCAACAATAAAAAATATTAAAAGAGAAAAAAAGTCAACTTAAAAACAATGAATAAAATAAAAATTGCAGAAACCGTTAAAAAAAAAAAAAAAACATAAAACCACAACAGAAACAATTCTTAAAAGTTTTGGGATGAAACAGGTAAAAATCACTCCACAGAGCTTAACTTATTAAATGAACGTTCTTCTAAAACAAGCAGGCTTTACAACTCTGGCTACTGTTTCAGGCAGGAAGCAGCCCTAGCAGGTGGAGCCGGGGTGTAGGAAGTACAGCATGCAGTTACACACACAGACACCATCAAGAACCTGATGAACGTGCGGGTACCGCAAGGCTCACCGTATTCTCCTGCCTCTGTCGTAACTGTAAAGTCAGGTCACTCAGCATTTGACTGAGAGTTGCCCGCACAGCAGTGTTTATACTGCGCTGGTGACAGCTACATATGTATGTCTCAATGCACACCTGGTAAGAAACAAGATAGCAACACATATGCTCTGTAGACATCAGTTCATTACCAACATTCCGTGGAACTAGCCAGAGAAGATCAAACCCCTCTTAAGTAGAAAGTCAGCCTGATTTTGGACTAGTTATTGGCAAGTCCTAAAAATAGTTTTTTTTTATTGTAAGCCCTAGTGATACAACAGTTAAGCACTTGCTGCCAACCAAAAGGTTAGCTGTTAGAAGCCACACAGTAGCGCCACAGGAAAAAGACCTGCTTATCTGCTTCCATAAAGATCGCAGCCTAGGAAACTGGATGGGGCAGTTCTGCCGTATCACACAAGGTCACTAGGAGTTGAAAATGGACTTGATGGCACCTAACGACACAACATTATTTAAAATCACTGGGAATTTATTTTTAAGCACACAGTAAGATTAGTATTTCCCTAAAGTATTTCCCTTCTGATCATCACAGGAGAATGCAAATGAGTGACTTTTAGCTAGACCAAATAATTCTAGCTAGCACAAAGTCAGATGGCTAGAAATTAATCAGGAACAGGTCCACAGGGAAACAGGAAAAGAATTTATTACCTTCTGGGTTATGAAGTGAACCCCTGGGTGGCACAAATGGTTAGTGTGCTTGACAGCTAACGGAAAGCAACTCCCAGTCTGGCAGTTCGAGTTTAACCAGAGGCACCTTGGAAGGAAGACCTGACAATCTATTTCCAAAAAAATCTGCCACCGAAAACCCTATGGAGCACAGTTATACTCTGACACCATGGGTTTTTTTTTTTTTTTTTTTCATATGTATGTGAAAGCTGGACAACGAATAAGGAAGACAGAGGAAGAATTGATGCCTTTGAATTGTGGTGTTGGTGAAGAATACCAAAAATACCACGGGCCACCAGAAGAATGAAATCTGTCTTAGAGGAAGTACAGCTGGAATGCTCCTTGGAAGTGAGAACGGCCAGACTTCATCTTACCTACTTTGGTTGTGTTATCAGAAGACACCAGCCTCTGGAGAAGGAAATCGTGCTTGGTAAAGTAGAGGGTCGGGGAAAAAGGGGAGGACCCTCAGTGGCACGGATCGGCAGTGCCTGCAATGATGGGCTCAAGCACAGCCAGGATTGTGAAGGTGGCACAGGCCTGGGCAGTGTTTGGTTCTGTTGTGCACAGTGTCGCTATGAGTTGGTGCCGACTCAACAGCACCTCAAACAACAGTTCTTCTGGAATCTACAAGGATGGGCATGAAAATTAAGGCACGGTTTAAATTTGCCCTTTTCTACCTCTTACCATAAAATTTTATCCTTTCAATTTCACACCATATTTTAAAACAAACAAACAAACTCACTGCCATTGAGTCAGATCCGACTCACAGCAACCCCTCTTTGGGTTTCTGAGGCAGTATCACTATGGAAGTAGGTTGCCCAACCTTCCTTCTGAGGAGTGGCTGTGGGTTTGAACCTGGTCAACAGTCAAATGGCTTAGGCCCTATGCTACCAGCATATTTAGACACACAAAAAACAAAAAGGAATTCAATATACCTATTTTTCTAGGAATAACTCCAAGATCATCTATGGTGACAAGACAGTGTTCTCATTTAAATGGCAAATTTAATTTGATGACTGACAACTGAGTTGGGAGAGTGAGTCAATGTTATCCTTTGTTGTTACTAATTAAGCCAGTGAAGTTGTCTGCCAAGCCTCACTACAGTAACCTTTTCATAAAGTTAACTAGGTAAAATAGAATTTTTGAAAACTTAGTCTACCTTTATGAATATTTAATATTTCAAATAAAACTTAAGAGTGTAGTTAGAGTTGGTCTAGAATAATACATTTTGATAGCTAACAAATAAGAGCAAGTTTCAAAGTACTTTTCATCCTACTATTAGGGGCATGCCAATTTTAAATTCATTTTCTCAAATTATCATGAATTATAATGTTTTTAAGATGCAATTTGTATATTCTCACAAAGAAAATTGTGTTAATCCAGAATGGTTTTTATTTTCACATGTGATGAAATGGTCTATAAGCCTTGAAACTATATCTAAATGACTGCAGTGTTCTACTTTGATGAAACCAAATTCCCCCCAGTGTGATGAGGCACTGGTCCCATCATACCTCATAATTTAATAGTTCTTTTTAAATCTTATGTTTTTCCAAAAAATCTTTGTAACTGTTGATCTTGAAGATCTTTAAACTCTGCCACTATAAACTTAAGGTAGAATTTTAAGCCTTGAAAGCATTCAAGATGAAAGTAGCTTTATTTTTTAATTTATTATTGTGATCTGGGTGCAATTTGACAAAGCAGATTTATTTCACACTCAACGACTCATATACATTTTGTTTCCTGACACTGATTACAATCCCCACAGTGTAACATTTCTCCTTCCATCTCCTTCCCTGTGACCTTCTTACCTACACATTCCTGCCTGCCTAGCTTTCTTCGTGTGCAAATACTGCCCTTCTGATCTTCTATGGTTGTCTTTTCTAAGGAATGCATCTCCCTGTTGTAGTTCTTCAGCCCTAGGCCTGCCTATTGTTTGGTTGAGAGTTGAGCCACAACAGTAAGTCCAATTCCAGGCCTGAAGGGTGACTTAGGGCCACAGTCTTAGGGGTTTCACTAGTCTCTACCCAACCAGTAATCTGTGACTTTTTTATGTTTTCGAATTTTGTTCTGTACTTTTTCTCACATTCTACCCAGCTTCTCCAATTTGGAGAGTAACTATTTTCAGAATTGAACGATACACTAAACAGTATAAAATGTGGACACTTCAAATAATTCTCCTGAATACTGAGAGCCATGCTCACTACTGTTGTTGTTGTTATGTGCCCTTGAGTCGGATCTGACTCATAGCGACCCCTCCTCCTTGGGTTTCCAAGGCAGTATCACTATGGAAGTAGATTAACCTCCCTTTATTACATTAATCACTTTAGACTATGAAAGAAAGCCCATATGAGGAACTGGATTTTATATAACACCAACGATGCTGTAAACTGACAAGAACTTCCTCAACTACAAATGAACTTGCTGTAATTTTAATGTGTGCACTTTTTTTTTGTTTGTTTCAGTAATTAGTTGATAAGACTACTGGAACAGCATTGGAAATGACATTGCAGGAGTTATTTTATTCAGTGAAAAGATGAACATGTTCACTCTGCTAAAAAAAAGTATGACTCTATAAAGCTCATTCTGCTAATATTGTGCATATAAATACTAAATATGGCAAGAGGACATTCTGTTACATATAAAAATGACCATGTATTCAAAAACATCTCTGTTTGTAGGTATCCAGAAAGAAATGCTTTATCAGCTATTCTGACAACTTCTGAAAAAAAGTTTCTTAAGCACACTGTTTTATTTATCATTAAGGTTCACAGAACTGGGGCTTTCATTTAGCAACCCAACCACTGTATCAAGGTCAGTGATTTCTCATTATGTGAATGTTTTCCTTCCTCCATCTCAGCAAAGTGCTAAAATGACCACATTGAGTTAAGGAAGTTAAAAGAATACTAAATCCAAAGTCAGGCTGAGTTTCTGGGAAAGAGTGCATCAGTTTCTTCTTTTCATCTCACCAGTACCAGTTCTACCTCCCCAGGCCCTTTGCTTTGCAGTGAAGAATTGACATGCACAAAGCCTCAGTCCTGCACCTCTCCCGCAGGCTCAAAGGGCCAAGTCAAATACCTTCTGGCAAGCCACAGGCCCCTGATCACCGGGGAATGCACGAAGACACAGGGCAGTGAGGAGTTTCATAATGAACGTTTTGATCATTTCATGCATTTGTGGACATCCAGCTTTACAACATGCTAAACAAAACTGAGAGCAAAAACACAAATGGTTAATGAAGCAAAACAAACCCAAAAGCAGAAGAAAAAAGAGCAAGAAAACATAAGCCTGCAAGCCATAAATAAGCAATGAAAGCTGTACCCCACTGAATAAGTAGACTAATAAATAACTGTACTAGGTTAAGCCCAGGGTGGAATAAGTAAATCACTAAATATGAAGCATCACAGTGGAATATAGCAGACACTCAATAGCCATTGACCAAATGATCACATATTTTGAAGAAGCTTCCACAATGGAGATGTGTCTGCTTTTGCCAAGTATCTATTACCCCACTGTGCTGAACTGTGCATTTTACCTTCTCTTTCCTGTTTGAATGAGTTCAGTAGCACTGCTCTAATACAACATTGCATATTACTGAGTAATAAGTTCCGTAAGAGAAGAGCTAGCATGTTTATAGTAGGAAATTTTTTATGAAGATGAAAAATAATTTATTGTGGTATAAAACAGAAACTATAAGATAAGCTGCAGAAAAGCAGAAGAAATATCTTCTATGGTAGCATAGTGCCTAAGGCATCTGACTGCTAACCAGAAGGCAGTTCTAACCCACCAGCCACTGCTCGGAAGAAAGGTTGGGCAATCTACTTCCATAGTGATACTGCCTCGGAAACCCAAGGAGGGGGCGAGTCGACTTGACAGCAGTGATTTTGGTTTGGTTTATTGAGAAGACACATTTTTACCACATTAGAACCAAAAAAAAATTTGGTAATAACTTAACTCCAAACTCTATGATGCATCATGGTGGGAACATCATGGTGAGAACTCCATAGCCATGCAGTTTCCTTTCTGAAAGACACCTCCTTCCTGAGGGAGGTGAAGATCTGTAACAGGTAGGTTTGTGACAGAAAGAACTTCATTATATGGGTGCTGCTTAAGTCATTTTATTATTCCTGAGAAATTTGTGTGTAAGTTAAGTCTGATCACTATGCTTGATTAGGGAAATTTTCTGGTTTTCCTTTTTGACTTCAACTCCAAGGAAATTCTTAAAGATGCCAGGCACACAGGTATTCTGTCTTCCCCTTTCTCTTTCATGTTCTTCTTGGCTTAAGCTGGCATATTAAAACGCTGAAGACACCACAGCCCATCGATTCTTGCATCTTCACATATATAACCTTCCCCTTGGTGTACAAAGTCTACTGATATCCAGACTCTTCCCTATGAACCAACCCAGGAAGAAGTAA